CGAGCGCCCCGGGAAGGACGCCGAGCGGGAGTCCCACTGACTCCGGAGCTGGCCCCCGTACAGGTGGGAGGCCCGGAGCCCAGGGGCCAGGGCTTCACGGTGGGGCCAGCAGGGAGGGAACAGAGGTGAAGCAGGATCAGAGGGTTGGGGTTAGAAGGAGGAAGTTGGGGAAAGCCGGGAAGGCTGGGGTGGAAGGAGGAAGACCTGGAGGAGGCTGTGGGAGGAGATGGGAGGGGAGACGGCGGCTGGAGCACCTGGAGGCCACGGGGACCAGGAACGCTGGGACTTTCTGGGGTGCACCAGGAGGCTGTTTGGCCCCGGAGTGCAGGAATGGTGGGGCCCAAGAGCCTTCCCCAGACCCAGGCCTACTCACACAGAGCTTTTCTCCCCCCACAGATAAAGGTGGAGGAAGACTTTGGCTTCGAAGCGGACGAGGCCCTGGACTCAAGCTGGGTTTCTCGGGGGCCAGACAAGCTGCTGCCCTACCCCACCCTAGCCAGCCCCCCCTTTGACTGACCCCCCAATAAACGGACACCATGGTCTCCTCGGCCACTGTCTGCTGCTCCCACCTCTAATCACACACACGGGACTCTGGGGTCGGTTTTCACATTTTATTGGCCATAGGGGAGGGGACCTCCTCCCTGTCAGTGTGTGGGTGGGGGTGGGGTTCACAGTTTCTTCAGCCACTCCAGGTTTTGGCCCTGGGGGTCCTGAGGGTGGCTGGGCACGTCGGGCATGTTCCCATCATCTCGGACGGGCACTGCGGGACAGGAGGGCGGGCCACTGAGACCAGCAGGTCTCCGGGGCCCCAGAGAAGGGCTGGCCCGTCAGTGAACATTCAGAGGGAACTGGGGCCCCAGGGGAGAGAAGACGGGAGAGTGAGGGTCCGAGCATCAGGGGCACAGAGACAATCAGGGTGACACAGAGACCTAGAGACCTGGGAAGCCAGGGAGACCGACACAGCCCCACTCACCTGGGTAGTTGTAGGGTGTGACCTTGTTGATCATGGTGGCGTACTTGGTGAAGGGGCTGACGAAGGGCAGAAGCAAAGCTGTGGAGACACGGGGGTGAGGCCCGGGGAAGATGGCTCCGGAAGGGGGAAGGGCAGAAACCAAACCCTGGCAAAGTGGGGGCTGAGTGCATG